ATTCTGTCTCTCAGAGTGGGAATGCACCTACAATGTGAATTTCAGACCCCTCCATGATTTCTAAGTGGGAGAACTTGCAAAATCGCAGGGTGTTCAAATACTTCTGTTCCTCACTGTACAATGTTCCAGCACGACTGTGGTTTATATTTTTCAAAACCATCCATAAAGTCTTTAACAGTTCACCTCCCTCTACATGGGAGGACAGCAGTTGCCATGGCTCTGTGTAGTTACCGGGGCAACCATGTGTTGGTGTCACAAATCTGTGAGGCGGACGCTGGAGGATGTCTCAACATAGATGCACCCTTGGTATGCTAAACCCGATTGGCCACCTCGTAGATCGATGACGAGGCTCCGACTCCTCTCAGACTCTGCCGTCTGGAGTCGAGCCCGGCCGAGCATCGAGTCCCACAGTAGACCTCTGCTCCACAACTGGACACAGCAACACAGATTAGTACTGAGAGTGTGTCCTTACTATGTGTGTGTATGTGTGTGAGGGAATGTGTCAGAACCTCGACAGAGATGTGCGTGTTGGGGTATCTCCTGTAGAAGATGGCTCTGAGGTTGAACTCGGGGTTTCCCTCTTCCTTGAACACCTGAGTCCTTATGGCGTCATTCTCACATCGCACTATGGCGTAAACATCTGGAGCTGTGAATCACAACACACAGCTCAAGATGATACAACCGAGGGAAAGGAAGAAATTAGCTCCAGTTCAGTTAGATCTGGTCATTCAGATATCAAAATGTAGAGCATCCAGTTAGGTAAGGAGACTATATGGATGCTTCTAGTGAGTATATTGTGTTGTGCTTAGTGACCTGTCTGTTTGGGAGGTCTGAGTCCTGATGCCCTGCGGAGGTGGACTGTGGTTACAACAGTGGGTTGAGGTAGAAAACACTGAAATACTGATGGAGTCGGCAAGTCTTCCCTGAGTTCCCTACAAGACAAGGAAGGAAAGAAGAAAAGTATGAGTGTTGAAGAGGAACGGGTTAAATCTGAGAGCAAAGAAGGTATAGTGGCTGCTAATGTGAAAGAAAATGATCCTCAATATCCAGATAAGGGGTAGAAAGCAGTGATTATAAGACACAGCTTTGGTGCTGCTAGTGAATGTTCACGCAAACACCTGTCACACACCTCAGTCGGACATGGGAATGGGAGAAGAGTCGTAGCAGAAAGCGTCCGGTGACTCCTGGCAGGAAGGTGGTGGGCAGCACTACATAGCGGCCTGGAACCAGAGTCCCCCTCAGTGTAACACTGCGGGAGTCCATGTAGATGGAGCTGGCGGCCTGCTCCACCACACACTGCACCCGGCTGCAGCGGTTCACCTCCACCTGCAGAAGACAAAGAAAGCAGGGAAATGGTTTTTAAACTTTCAGGGTAACTGAAAAGGTGGATCTTCCTACAGCATTTTAGTGGACTCACCTTCAGCACCTCAAAGCCAATAGGCAGGTTCTCTCCTCCTCCATCTTTCCTCTGTATCCTTCTGTCCTCCTGCTGCAGACAGATCAGCACCTCCTCCTCTTTGCCTCTCACCTCGAACATAAACTACAAGACGGAGAGAAAAGAAGAAAAATCACTTACACTCACACAAAGACTTGCACTTCAGGTTTACCTGTGGATTGTGCAGGAACGTGTCCCTGTGGTTGATGCATCCTCCACATCGACTCCTCTTGTCCACCTGTGTGTCCCACCTCCCACTGATTTTTTCACCTTCTTCCTTTGTCACTTTTTTCACAAGTTTGCCTTTCCCACACTTTCCTTCTTTGCATCCTTCCTGCCGACTCTCCCCAAGTCGGGCCTCCTTCATGTTCCCTTGCTGCTCTGCCCTTCCAGGTCTGATGCTGTTCTTGCCCAGTGTGTTGTTACTGTGGTGGAGGGTGGATGGAGATGCACCGGGTGGGGTGGGAGCTGGAGCCCACTCCCCGTAGCAGCGCACTTCTTTCCAGTGTGAGCTCGGCCACAGCTGAACCCTCTCCACCAGATGGCACACCACTACATCTGTGAAGTAGTGGCAGAAATCCTCGAACTCCATCCTGAACAAGAAGCAAGTTTAGCAAAAGTTTGGATCAGAAATATACATGCTATATGTATATAAGTTAGAGCAAATAATAAATATACCAAAACTCCCCAACATCTCTAACAGTGAGGCCCGTCTTCTCCCTGTCTGCACGACTCATCTGTTGCCACTGCTGTGACCTGCAAGGGGCGTGCAAGGACAGTAATGTAGAAGGCTGCAGAAAAAATGCACAACACACTGGAAACGCCAGGAAAAATCCGTTTTGTTTCAACTTCTGCAAAGTTTTATTGGGCCGTTTTGTTCATTTTGTCCAACTTTCATAATGTAAACAGCAGACGCTGTCTAGTACAACAATTCCCAAACTATTGTAAAATGTCAGAAATGGTCCAAATATGTTGCATTGTAAAATGTAAAACAGACTGACAGCAGGGGCCGTTATTCCCAGAGCTCCTGCGGAACGTGATGTACTCAACTGTCAGACATGTGGCAGATGAAGTCAACATGCCCTCACCCCTGACTCCAGGCCCCCGTCCAATCTGTGGTCCCCCATGGATTCCTCATGCGCACCATGAAGAGCTTGGACATCCCGCCCCTGTTCAGCAACTTCTCCGCCAGCCTCACCTTCCTTACTGCTGTGATCCCATAAGCGTGTCCTCGCACCAGGCCACAGTCCAACACCGACTCCACTGTCTCCCCCTCTGCCGGCTGAGAAATGCAAAATACACTGAATTTATTTTAACCTAGTTCTAAAACATTGAAGATTCTCAGAATAATCCGAATCAGAATCGTCTTTAATGGCCAAGTCTGTTTGAACATACAGGAATTTGACTCTCAATGTGTTGTAAGGCAACAGAAATAGAAAATAACAATGATAATAAAAATAAAGTGAGAATAAACAGTGTATGCATCCAAGTAGGAAATGTGTGCAATCAAAAGTAGGAAAGGAACGAGAGGAAGTGTCCTACCCTTATGGAGCAGGTTATGAGGGCTTTGCGTTCATGTGCCTTGGCTAGCGTCTGAAAGAACGTTCTCCTCTGGTCACTGTGCAGGCTGAGGGCCTCACTGTCCAGATGGAGGGGCTCTGAAACTCCTCCAGTAAAGTCGATCAGGGCCTCTGCAGTGTTTCCTCCCTCCAGGGCCTCATAGCAGCCGTTCAGCCTAGAACAAATCCAGGAGCGGGATAGACTGATGTGAAGACTGAATGGTTCACGGCTGGCTCCTTGTTCCTCACTCTCCATGCTTTGCTCCAAAGGTACCGGACAAAGCGTAGACGACCAGACTAGTGTTGATGTGTTTCAGTAGGTTTTTGAGGTGCTGCTCTGCAGACAGTGTTGGTGTTCTGGGTGGTTTGCATGGTTAGTGGTGGCAGTAACATGTTTTTGTCAGAACCTTAGTAAAAGGTTGCCATGGCTGAGGGCAAGAAGTTTGATATTCTGTGATTATGTAAAACCACATAATAACTAATTTTAATGCCATCTTTTTTCTTCTTCTTCTTTTTAATAAAGAGTGACAGGAATCAGGGGGTCTAATATGCCAAAAGGCTCCCCAGGGTGGGAGTCAAACATTTGCCACGTTAACCATTTGGTCATCATGGTGCCCACTAATGCTTTTCTTTTTAATGCCTCTGCACCGGTAACAGAGACAATTGGAAGCATTATGTTTTTGGGTTGTCCATTCGTACATCTGTCCGGCCCATTCTCATGAACGTGATAGCTTTGGGGGGATTTCTATAAATTTGGCACAAGCTTCAACTTGGACTTGAGAATGAATTGATTAGATTTTGGTGCTCAAAGGTCAAGGTCAGTGGCCTCCCGTCTACCTCATTCCTGTGAATTTGACTGGCTGGTGGAGGCAACTGAGAAACGGTAGGCCTAACTAGTTTTCACTAGTTGTAATATCTGAGCATGACAACTATGGTGTGGTTAAGGACAAATCACGTGCTAAAGCCCTGACAGTCAGGGAAACCTCTCCTGAGAAAGACAATGCTAAGGGCTCCTGGAGCCTTTAAGTGTCACTAAAAAGACTAAAGGAGGACATGATGGTACAGAAGTATTACTATTAGCAGTTGTTACAGAAGCTCAGTCAGTGGTAGAGAATGCAACAAATCTTTTATGTTGAAAGGTTTGAGAGCTGAAACTTCCTGCCACAAGCTCAGCCAGCATTTATTACTCACTTAGCATAGGCTTTCTCCAGCAGGGCACTCCAGAACTCTCTAGGTGTGGCTGATCGACAAAACAACAGCACTCCGTCACCACTGACAGGCAGGCGGTCGTCCACGACTACATCCACCCAGCAGCCGAGGCGCCAGAACCGGAAGTGGAAGATTCCTGCGTACACGTCTGGACACTTTGGGTTCCACTCTTGATCCATATGGCCAGGTATCACCTGAGAGGAGGAAGGTGTGAGATGAGATGACGTCATGAAGGAAGAAAAAGGAAAGGAAAGGATGACAGGTGAAATGGAAGGAAAGGAGGAAGGAAAACAAAAACACAACCTTCTTCCACAGAGATGGCTCAGATGCCAGACAGGAAATGGCGGCCACCATCCAGCAGTTACCCAGACTGCCTTGGTGTAAGTCACGAGTGCTGATGCCATCAACAAACAAACGAGGGTCCTTACATATCTCCTAGAGGGCGATTGGGAGCAAGAAAAACACATCAAACCTGCGTTGAATTAAGTTTTTGGCCACTGTAAAAGAAACAAAAATCATGTTGACATTTTAACACTTGATGTGCCAAACATGTTAATAACAGGAGCTTAACGACCCACAAACAAGGAGCAACATTATTATTTATATGGAGCTGTATTTGTGAACCTAAGTCAGATACTCTCCTTTGCTCTACCTTCAGCTCCAGAGGGAAACATCTGGCTCTTTAGCTGCTAAAACCTCCGCTATGTTCACTAGTTAGTCGCTAACTGTGTCTGCTGTTTGGTGTGGAGCAGGTACCGTACAATGTGTCAGTGAAAGCAGCGGCCTGCTGATCAGAGCAGTAAAGTTGTGGCCCTAAACCCAAAACAATGAGCTGAAAGATGCTGCAGCTCTCCTGAGACTTGTCAGTGGGTTCATCACTGTAAGCGACACCTTTAATCCATTGTTAATATAAAACAAAAGTTCTACAGAAGCCTTAAATGCTCCCTAATGTGGAATAAACAGTGGACTAACAGTGTGTCATGGTTTCATGAGGCCTGTTAGCTGGTTCAGTGTCAGAGCACTGCTAAGGAGACAGATCCTCTCTGTCCTATGTGGACCTGCTGATCTCAGTTGGGACCGAGTCAGGTAACCGTAGAAGTGTTGCTGCTGCTGCACACACACACACACACACACACACACACACACACACACACACACACGGTGACATAATGAATCTTCCTCAAGATGATATCGAGTTCATAACACACGCAGATGAGCAGATGGAGCTACTGTGACAGTTATGACGGCAAACAAGACATTTGAGTCAGTTTTATGTAGTTGTGTGTCAGCAGAGAGAGGAGACAGATGCCACCCTGTCACCCGACTCCCTGGCGATACACACTTTAAACACCTGAGTGAAGCATTAGGAACACAATACTATGAACCCTCCTCTTCAGCGCTGACTCAGCAAATTAAATTGAATTTGAAGCTAAAATATGGTAAATTTTTCTTTTCAGTACAGTGTGGCTGATTGGTGAATTTGATGTATCTTCAGGTTGTGAATATTTTTCTTAACCTGCCATTAATCTGGCATCTGTCACCACTTATGTGTCCTGATCATGTTAACTGGTTAATTTACTAATTTGTTGTTATGGAAGAGCTGGGTACTGGCACAATAAGATGTAAACATCAGTATATTTATGTATTTATCATTTAATATGGCACAATTAGTTTTCTGTAAGTCTTTGACCAATAAATTATAAAAGTGCAGAAATCTTAGTTTTGTCTTTTTTCGTCATAGGTTTGTTGGATGAAGCTTTTGCATTTAGCATCTCTAATTTCATACAGAATGTAAACAGTCAACAGAAAAATAAAACACTATGCACACTGGAAAACATCTTATGGCAAAAATGCTTGGCTTGTAAGTCTCCATTATTCAATAATAAAACTTTTATTCTTGACTGCATTTTCTAACAAGTCCATGAACAATTAAAGTTTTTTTTTAGCCTGGCTTTTAATCTGTCACCTCACTGCTTTTATTCTGGTGTGTTACATCACCATTAAAGGCCACTTGGCTTGGTGTAACCACTATAAACACCTATACTTATACACAGCTACACACATTTCAACACAGAGCTAAAAACACCTGAGCTATTTAAATTGGCCGCTGCCTTTTCTAGACTACACACACACACATTTGTACTTCAGTCTTTGTGAGGACACTGATAGACATGATGCATTCCCTTTAACAACTAAATGCCTGACACCAGCCCTAACCTATACCTAATTTTTACTTTCAACCTAAAACCAGGTCTTAACCCTCAAACATTCCTTTGAAGGGGCGTCAGAGCAGCCCAACTGTCCTCACAATACAAACACCAATATATGGGACTATCTGCGGCACACACCACTTGCTCCATGTGGGCTAAGGTTTCACTCCCTGACGCCTCTCCTATAATAGAAAGTGCTTTAAGTAACCCACTCTGTTGGAGCTGGCCACTCATCTTGGACATAAGATGAGGAGAGGTTGTGGAAAATAACTCTTTGCATTAGTTGAACTGGCTGGAGTAGAAAAAAGTGAAAGAATCCCTCCATCTATTTATTGCACGTCTCACTCCATGTCGCACTCACGCTGGGCCTCCTCCAGCTCAGGCCCGGCGGAGGCTCCCTCTTGTAGAACAGGGACTGGGTGGAGGCAGGGAACAGGGGATCCTTGAAGAGCGCACCTCGACGCAGACAGGCCCGCCTCAGCTTGTGAAAGCTCTGACCCTGGAAGTCACACACCCGCTCCAGCATCATAGTTGGACATGAGAGGCCTGAGGAAAGATGACGGAAGGAGGGAAATATGTGCAGAATGACAACACGTAGATACAAAACATAAAAATGGACACAATCAATTATTGTTAGGGGGAAATTGCATGTTTTGAAGATTCAACTCTTTGCACTCCAAACCTGAGATCTGCTTAACTGATCCTATTAATGAGATCAGTTTTTAACAGCACATTAGCCTGAATTTAAATACTATAAACAATATTCTATACACTGGATTTTGGTTTTGTGTAAATACGGCGGCAGCCATCAAGAGTCTGCACTTTGTAGCAGCAGAGGAAGCTGGAGGTCCCGCAGGATCAGCGTGTGTTAGGAAAGAGAGAGGATAGCAGTAAGGCGATGGTACTGTTTTAGTCATCAGTGATTTGAACTCCTGAGTCGGTAGCTTGTGTGTGTGTGTGTGATTCTGAGTCTCTGTGAGCACACCAGGTTCAGTGTGTGTGTGTGTGTGTGTGTCCATGTCTCTCAGATCCCTGCTGTGCAGAGGAAAAACCCAGATGAAACTTTGCAGGTGCTGACGTTTGCAGATACCAAACAGGTCAGTGTTATCAGTTATCAGTAGGGTTTCCATTTTTCTCCCATCAGATTTATGCAGAGAGACACACAAACATAAGAAGTAAACATACAGGTTTATAATAATTATAATAATTTTTAATCAGTGCATAAATTAATGACTTACAGCATCATCTGCAGTGGTAGAAGTACTTAGATATTGGTAGTAAAAGTAGGAATAATACAGTGTAGAAAAACCAATTTACGAGTCCTACATTCACATTTTTACTTCAGTACAAAGGTATTAGGATCATTATGCTAAATGGCCAATTTCAGAGCCATATACTGGATTATATTTATTGATGCATGGATGTCATTTCAATTTTGTAAAGATGGGGATAATTCTAATCACATATATACTTGAATTATTATATACTGCTGGGTAGTTTGTGACTTTCTCCTTAGAGAGCAATCATTTAATGGATGACTATATTTTGTATTTGTATTATAATGTGAATGTGCAAACTAGTAAATAATGGTAACAAATAAATGTAGTGGCACAGAAGTATGGGAAAATGGAAATACCCAGTACAAGTGACTCACCACCTGTTTAATATGTCATGAACTCCTGTATTTATTTATTGTATTTATACAACTCCCAGTTTAGTCAAACATAGATTACATGTGTTGTTAGTTGCTCAGTTTGGTTCCATGTCAGCAAACATTTACACTCACATAATGCTGCCAGTACTCGTGTATATTCACAGGAACTACAAATTGCCTGTGCATGGCCAGGTCCAACAGATTCAAATATTTATTTTAGTGTGCGCAGCCATGTGCATCTGTTGTAGTGTGCCTGCTGTGCATGAACTGAACTTGTAAATAAACAAACAAATAGCCAAGTGTGGAGCAGCCTCACACAGTCGGCTTGTGTTTAACTCCACGTTAACAGTTACAAACTGATGATCCACTATGTGTGAAAGAGCTGATATTTGACATAGCAAATTACACTCACTGATACATTCAAAAATAATGTTTATCGTAAATTAAAAATAAGCAACAAATATTAAATACAGCATATGGAAACAAGCTTCACTGAAAACTTCAATTTTATAATCATTTAATAAAAGTTGTACTCCAGCCTTTGCAAGTGTTACTGAACTAAAAACATGTGACAGCATCAGAAAACATCAGACACTAGATATAGTTGTTGTCTGGTGTATTAAAAGAGCTGTCGTCAGTTTGATAGCCTGTTACGATCATCCGTTTCCTGTGCTGGCGGTAGCTTTACATTTCTGCTAAAACATTTTATCATTAGTAACATCATCATTTAGCCATTTTGAGCCATGGGCGTGCATAAAATATCAGTCATAAATAACAGTTATACATTCACTGAGTTGTATACTATAAACTATTTGAGCAATTTACCTTTAAGTCAGATGATTTGTTGAGGCCAGACGATGGATCCAGGATCACTTCCTCCTTCGGTCATTTAGCAAATCCTTCCAGGAATCCTGAGTTTTAGAGACAACCACATATACTGTTAATGTCTGCTCTTTCCTCTTGTTTTTCTCTGACACTGTATGAGTCAGTTGTAACAAGCCGACTGACTGAACACTGCTTCATTGGACCTGGATGAGAAAAATAATGAAAGAATTAAATGCAGAAATGAAAACTACACTAAGAATGAGAGCGAATCTGCTGTGAGACAAAGGCTGGACTGATAGGAGCTCTGCAAGTTTCTCAACACCATCACTTTGTTGTTGCGTGAGCATGTGTCCATACAGCCGTGACAGACAAGGCAGGGTGACTGCTGGAGCCCAGTGCTAGGTGTAACCTTATCTCCCTCCATACTGACAATAGGCAGACGGTCTCCATGCCAATGAAATACTGTCACACATAGCTTTACAACAGCAAAATACTACAGTTAACCTCGCGTTTCAGACACTTTATCTTTCGGTGCCTGTTTGCAAACTGTTGTGCAGCTGGAGAGCATACATAAATATATTTTCCAGGAGTGTGTGTGTGTGTGTGTGTGTGTGTATTACTTACTGTTGCTTCTGCTCTTCTGGTTAGTGGCTGTGTGCATTCTGTTTTCTTCTCTTCCCCCTCGTATCTCACAGCTTTTCTCTTCTCTCCTCATTGTAGCATGACCTATGACCCCCTCTCTTCTCTTTTTCTGTATCATCTACTGACTCTCCTCTCCTCTCCGTCTTCTTCCACACAGACTCCTGTCGTATCTGTTGCTGTTGAACGTGTTGCCCCTGACACCTGAGAAACCAGGCACAAACACCTACTACTTTAACCAGTTCATTGCCAAATTTCATGGCAAAGTGATCAACCTGTTGCAACAACACATGACTGATGAACTAAAAAGCCTTTTTTTAGCAAAATCATTGCAATGGCTAATCAAATTAATATAGTTTTTATATATAGTGTAGAACAATGAGCATTTTTCTTTCTCAAAGGTCCAAAGTTGTTGACAAAGTGCAATGTGATTGAACAAAACAAGCAAACAAACAAACAAACAGCTAAATGAGTATCAAAATGTTAAATCACAACTGTCCTGTTGCTCAGTGAAACTCTGCTAAAATTGTATTCTTATTTTTCCACCTTAGTTGAATAATTTAATAGCTTTTAAATACCATTCCATGTAAAATATAAAAAATGCTTCCAGGATTTAAACCCTGGACTTTCTTCTTCTTCTTCTCCCATGCGGTGACAAATTTGCAAAAATTCATTATCTTCATATTTTTTATTAAATAAATGAGTTAATGTAATGAAATACAGACACTTGCTTGTGAATTCCATTTTTTTGTATTGAAATAGTGCAGCTTAACTTTAAATGCATAGCCTATAGATAAAATAATTTACAAATAAAGTTAAAATTGTATGCTTTATTAGTTGTAATTCATACTTTTAATATTTATATTGAATAATGTAGGCTAATACTTATTAAAATGTCAAACATACTGCGTTTATATATTAACTATATGGGTCTAGTATTGTACAGTATACTGTAAAAAAAAACATTTCTGCTACATATTAATATATATTTGTAATAATTGCTTTGGTACATTTTATTTAATGAGAAAATAGCTATAAAGAATGGAGATTACATTACCTAAAGTGATAGTACATGATATGCTTTCTTTGTGAGGACCAAAGACTGTAAAGAAATAACGAGTTTGCGTTTTCTCGATCAATGATATTCCCTGAAATCCAAACATCAGCTATCGACTAGTCGAGTCTGTCGTGATACAATACGCATGCGCAGTTGCAAGTCGCCGTCAAACATGCTTATGTGGCTTCTGTGATGTCAAAGTTTTAGTTTGTTGTTGGTTTGGAGACAAACTGCTGCGATGAAGCTTTGTATTGTGGCATTGCTTTGTGTTTGCAGTTTCATCAGAGCGGACGAAGACGAGAGACTGCCGAATAAATGCGAAGGTCAGAACACTAGCTAGCTGTTAGCATTACATGCTAGTTATAAGCTATCGTTAAAGTGTTATAACAGCAGTATTAACCTGACATTTGTTTACATATTGTGTTGAATTGTCCTGTGCCTACAATCTTTGACATGCACATAAATACGAAGTACTTTTCACGTTTTATTTTTCGTGTCTTGTCAGTTTGTAAGATTCTGACCATAGAGCTGCAGGAGGCTTTGGAGAAAACTGGCCGTTCCAAAGAAGTCCTGGAGGTTGGAGAGGTGCTGGACAATGGGAAGAGAAAAAGGAAGATAATATACAACACCTCGTAAGTTAGCTACCAAGTTAATATGAACAGGAGATACCTTGGGGTAGAACAATTAGAAGTAAATGCTGCTAAATTCTCAAATATAGAGATATCTCAAAATTAAGGAAGTAGTAAAATGAGTTGTACTATATGTGTAAAGTCTCTGATGTTCCCCTAAAATGCTAGGAAGCCTGCAGCTCTGTGTAAAGGCAACATATGCATCTGTGTTTTTCTTTCAGGGAGACTCGGTTGACTGAGGCACTAGACAACATATGTGAGCGCATCCTGCAGTATAATGTTCACGCAGAGAGGCCTGGCAGCCTCCGATATGCCAAGGTGAGGTTGAACCTAATAATGTGCGCTTAACGTTGGAAGGTGACATCTTTCACACCCAGTACACACATCATGTTCTCGATGTAAGGATTTAAATGATTAGGTTGATTTTTTTTTTAGTATTTATTTCTAAAACTACAGTCAAGTAGACACTCACCCCTAAAACTTGCTTGTGTTTTGTGTTCTTGTTATTTACAAATGTGTGCAGCAAACTGACCGCTAGGTATTTTCCTTGCTGTGCAGGGTGCCAGTCAGACCATATCGACTCTGAAGAATCTGGTTCACAAAGGAGTTAAAGTGGACCTGGGACTGCCATATGAGCTCTGGGATGAACCCTCTGTTGAGGTGTCTGACATGAAAAAACAGGTAGGCTTGCTGCAAGTGTTGGAACACCATCATACTTCTCAGTGTTTTTAGTTACAGAGCTTGGTATTAGTCTTGGCAGTTCTGTGCAGCCCTCTGCTGGACAACAGTGGAATAGCCTGCACCTCTTCACTGTGTTTTCTTTGTGGTGTGATTTTAATGTGGCATGGAAAAGTCATATCACAGTGCAAAATGATTCATTCTGTTAATAAGGATAAATATTTGTCATCTGACATGTTCTTCACTTATTTATGACAATATATACAAATATAAATGTATATTGTATTTGACTTCAGACATTCAAAATCTTCCAAAGTCAACAGCAATATTGGAATCCAAAAAAACACGTACACAAGATTAAAAACAGTACCTGTGTCTATTTGTGTTGTGCAGTGTGAGAAAATGCTGGAGGAGAATGAGGAGGTGCTGGAGGACTGGTACTTCCACCATCAGGACCAGAGGCTGGACAACTTCCTCTGTGAAAAGCATGTCCTCAAAACATCAGAGCAAGGTAGGAGACACATGAGGAAGTAGTACCAGTCAGTCCCACCTGTGTTTGTTTGAAACACATTTAAGAGATTTTAAAAAGCATTTATCCAATAACGTCTGTACTGAGATTACTCTCCTTCCATCAGAATGCCTGAAGGAGGTGTGGAAAGGGGACATGGGTGAAAAAGGAGGAGCTGAGGAGGCAGCAAGCGACAACACAGCAAAACAGGAAACAAGTGACGATGCGCAGGAGGAGGAGGAGGAGGAGGAAAAGACACATGACGCCGGAGAGCTCTGAGAAAACATTTTCAAAATGAAGACAACACAAAACCTCATCCTCAGATTTTAGCAGGAAACATGCAAATTGATGGGCAGAAGTTAATAATTATGTATTCAGACTAATTTTCAGCTGTTCTTGGAGCCAAATCTGGTACATACATGTGGGAGAGATCACACTGAGATTATAGAATGAGACTATTTTAGCTTCTGAATGGATGATTTGACAATTAGAAACATGCCGTCAACACTGTTTCAGATGCCAAACCTTGTTCTAGTTTACACAGTGTTGCAGTGGTGTGAGATGATACTTTACACAATTTGGCACTAAGTTATTTTTACAGAAACTGTCTCAGCTTTTTATAAACGGTTTCACCTTTTTGAACACACCTATTTGGATAAAGGTTGTTACATCATGTGTGAATGCTGTTACATTTATACTTATGCCAACGTTGTTTTGCTTTTTTTATCCCCAAACTACAGTCTTTAAATGCAATATGTACAGTTGTTTTTTGTTGAATAAAAAGCTTTTTGTAATGTATGTTTTCTGCAGTTTGTTACAGAAAAGCACCATAAACAGGAGTGATGTTGCAGGTTGTTAATTGAGGATGATTAGTCTCAGGTGTGGGCCTCCTTCCTCATGTTGAGCCACTTCAAGAAGAGTCATCAGAGGCCAGTTTTGAATGAAACATCACAATGTCTCCCAGTTCTGTTGTGTTTTTGCTGTTTATTTGGTCTAAATTAGCAACAGTTCAGTGTTACACCTATCAAACAGAGCCTCTTTCTCTGTCTTATGTCGACTTGGCGGCTCTTGAAGCGAACTCTTTCGCTCAGACTAAGGGACCCAACTCTTACTCTGGGGATCCACTGGGAATAACTGATCACAAGGTCAAGACCCTTGTGGTAAAATGTCACGAAGACAGCGTTGAGGTTGTGATGAAAGCTCACCTGTTTGGCCCTGGGTGGCCTGTGGACCCTGCGCACTTGAGACTTGGACTTGTCGGTGCTGCACAAAGTCAATGCAGAGCCACAGTGTCTGGACGCGGGGAGTATGTCATCAGAGCACCTCTGACTGACTGTGGGAGTGCAGTGATGGTTGGTGAGCCCGTTGAAAGTAATTTGCTCAGCAATAGGCAAAGCAAAGCCGAGTTGTAGTTACTCGGTGCTGCCACCTAGTGTTTTATTTATCTGTAAGTTTTGTTGTGTGTCACATGTTTTAGTTCACTCACAACGCTGTGCTTTACAACAACCTGCTGTTGTACTCTCCTCCTCCAACGTCACCCAGAGACCGCTTTCACATGGAAGGAGCTGCCATCCCTGTGCACTGCGAATATAAAAGGTGCATTTTCAAAGACATAATGGTCTTAAATTGTGTACAATAACAATGTGTGTGGTCTTTAGTTCCTTTCAGAGGCCTCACAGATGACTTGCAGCATCTGGATTTTGCAAAGATCTATTGAGAAAAAAAATACTTTGTGTGTACAAGGCAATTAAAAATGCACTACACTACACTGTAAGGGTTTAAAAACTTAGAAACTCTTTTCAACATTTCAAACTGTGTTGTTGCTGTGACTGTTTATAGCTGCCAAGTTAGCCTTTGTCTTCTCCTGCAGGAGATACACAATGAGCAGCAGAGCTCTGAAACCAACCTGGACCCCTCTGATTTCAGTCCGGTCTGCTCATCTCAGCCTCGATTTCCAGCTCAGGCTCATGACAAGTGAGTTGGCTTCAATCTGATGAACCCAACAGTTTTCACTACTGAAACAGAAAACACAACAGAACAAATTTATCGAAGCCACAAAAACATTTTTATCCATAAAATCCAAATACCAGACTTCAGTATTATTAAAATCCTGGCCCTGCCCCAAAACCGATCAGTCTACAGAATAAATGTGTTAAATCAGGTGAATTTCCAAATATTCCCTGAAGTTCCAAATATACTTACAAATTTTAAAGGATAATTTAAAATAAAAGTATTTTCTGTAAATAGGTGTTTTGTTTCTGAATGTTCTGTCTTTTAGATGACTGGAGCAGTGAGAGAAAGTCTTCTGTTTACTTCCTGGATGAGATGGTCAACATTGAGGCCTCTGTAGATCATCGTCGTCGTCATCTTCCTCTTCGTCTGTATGTAAACAGCTGTGTAGCTACTCTGAGCTCTGATGTCACTTCCTACCCCAGATACCCCTTCGTAGACCACCAGGGGTGAGTCCTGTCGTTTTAATGTCTACAGCAGTTCGTCTAAACAATTCTCCGAACCAGAACTTCTTGCTGTGAACACACGATGGTGGCCCCACATCGACCACAGAAACCCACCCAGTTCCTGTGTTTGATTATGATAAAATGCTCCCATGTTACTGATATAATAAATGCGGAGTCCGTTCTTTGCAGATGTTTTACAGACTCCAAGCTGAATGGCTCCAGCTCTCGGTTCCTGACCCGGTTCCAGGACAACCACCTCCAGCTTCAACTCCAACCTTTTCTCTTCCACCAGGACCACAGACGCACTGTCAGCACTGAACCCACACATTTTCTTGAGCCAAAATCTTAGAGTGCAGTTACTAATTACAGCAAACATTGATATGATCTGTACTGTGATCTAGCTCCTGTCTCCTATAGATCTATATGACATGTTACCTGGAAGCGGAGCCAATTTCAAACAAAGACCCGGAGAAAAAGGCTTGTTCCTTCACCAGTGGGCGGTTGGTTTCCATTTCATAACTCCTGTGTTGTTGCTCCTTTCACTTCCTTGTATTTATTCTGAAAAACACAAAGGACAATATATATCTCCAACTGCCAGGTGGAGGTCAGTGGATGGTGACGACCACATCTGTGTGAGCTGTGACCAGATAAATAACAGCAGCAGTGTCAAGTCCAGCCACAAGAGAGCGCTGAGGAGCACAACAAACAGACAACATGGTAATGCACCAAATACATGTACTTCTCTAGACAGTGCAAGTATAAAAACAGGCAGTTTGTGAATGAAGATCACCTGAAGCCGATTAAATGTTCTCCTTTTGCAGAGCTGCACAGACAAACCACTTTGCATCCGATCATATTTCTTTCAAGGAAGTTGACAACAGTGTGAAATACAAGTGTCTGTATCAAACTGAGGCCAATAAAGACATTTAAGCACCTGTGTCATGTATCAGAAACTTAATGTAGTCCCACTTGTTTTGAGTTTGACAACTTCTGTCAAGCCTTAGTTTTTGTGCTAACATGCAGTGTGAATTGTGGACCCTACACAGGTGTGTGTGTGTCTTTCTGAGCTGTGACAAATCAATTAATTTTGTCACAGATGGACTCTAATCAAGTTCTAAAAACATCTAAAGAGTAATTAAATGAAGCAGAATGCACCTGTCCACAGACTGGAGTTCCACAAAGTCAGAACGCTTTTGAGACAAAATTTCCAAAATCTTTTTTTTTATTTTTTATTTTGGCATTATTGGTTATGTGCAGAACTAAATGTCCATAGTTTATATCACTTATTCCTAAATAGGATCGCAGACAACCACACACAGTTCTACGGGCAGTTTAGAGCCTTTGGATTGTGGGGGGAAGCCAGAGAACCTGGAGAGAACCCACGCAGGCGCAGGGAGAACATGCAAAAAGACTCCGGGTCGCACTGGGCTCAGGCCCTGAACCTTCTTGCTGTGAGGCGACGGCGCTAACCACTGTTCCACCCCCATTTTATTCAACTTAAATCTATGACAAAGTATACAAAATGGATTCTGAATACTTCACTATATGATAACACATAATAGTTTCATACCAATATATTGTATCATATTGAGTGATTTGTTTCCACTTTCAGTCTCTTACTAAGCAAAGTAAAACAAAAGTACCTGGGATGTGTTTGCACTCAATAAAGTACAATGAAAAGTCAAGACTTGCTTTGATGTATGTGCTAGATAATGACCGACCACGATATATGAGCTGAACCTATATGATATGTAGGCTCTAAAATGAGGTCTTGAGTTTCTGCATTGCATTTATTCTGCCAGATGTCTCAACCACAATGACAAATGCTCATCTTTTAAGCACTTTATGGGGCACTTTATTAGACAGTACAGGGGAGAGATACAGTAGAGAGAGGTTTACATGCAACAAAAGATCCCTATACCCTTAGGAAGCCGCACTATGATAAATGACCTGATTCATACATGTTGGAAGAAAGTCTGGACTTCTAGCTGCTCGCCATCTCTCTGCTCCCCTTTCAGGGGAAGGTATTGTTTTATCATCATAGGCAGAAGGTAAAACTCTGGGGACATGATATTCTGATCTTTTCTCTTGACCACTGATCCTTGAACACAACAAGTTAACTTATGGTTTAATGGTGAGTTTGTCTCCACTGCAGAACAACAGTCTGTTCCCCTCTTCTTCCAGCACCTGTCAACACCCGTGCCAGAGACAAAGAGTGAGAAACTTGGAAGAAAAAAAAAAAAACCCACTACATTGAATCATGGCAACCAGGGTTTATTTCCCACTTTGTTCTTTTTGCCAACCACGTTTAAGAGCCAAAACACTCGGTGAAGATTGTTTTTAAAGACATCTTTCTTGTTGCATAAAAACAAATCATTAGTCACCAGTAAAGGTGCAATTTTGGAGATTTTTGAAGGAGCATAATGTCATTTTGTTTGTGTTACATGCAAACCTTTTGCATCTGCCCATTACAGCTGCCATAATGGGACATATGGAAAAAGATCACGATATGTATAAAAAGCTTGGTTGTATTCAAGATTCAGAATCACACCTAAAATCAGTAACAATATCAGGCTTTTCTCTTTACTAATGAGACCGATATATGAGATCATTGATGAACAGTGTACACACCAGGGGGACGAACAATGATCCCTGAGGTACACCCAGTGTCAGTAATTACATTGTCTTTAGCTCTTCATAAGCTGGGACTCTAAGATGATAACTCTTCTTCTAAATTACTGTTATCTTTTGTCTCATTGAGGTACAAACCAGATTTAGCTTATCTCGTATCTCACAGCCAGATTTTATTACTTTTCTTCATCAATTTTCATTAAATCAGGGTATTTGACTCTTATGCTTGGACTTTATCTTGTGTGATGCAAAAAGATGTATTTAAAAAGGTTTTTGAATGTATATAAAACTTCTATATATTGGATTTTCATGCCTATACAGTATCTGATGATTAGTCCAAAGTACAGTATTGTGTCTTGTTGTAACTCTTTAAATGTTCAAACTAGTCCATCAAATAGACACTCTCATTCTCTCATGGTGGCTTAATCCTCACTATTATAATTGTACACATTGTATTTTGTTATTTTAACTTGGGTCTTTTAGCACACTTGTAGCTGCAGGGTGAGACTTTGGCAGCACAACACACCTGTCAAGTACCACCTAAAGTGTTTAACATTTTCTTAGATCATTTTAAGGGCAATATCTGTTATCATGTTGTGTTTGTGTTTATTATTTTTCTTTCACCTCCATCTCAGCTCACTATAATCTTTACTATTTTGACCCTTAATTTAGTTTATGGCACTTGCCCTTGTGTCCAAGGATAGCATTGCCTAAGTCCATTGTAACTACTTGACACACACACACACACTCAAAGACACACATGCACACAAAGCACACCTGGGGAAACATTCCTCGGGGGAAGTCATCAATCAGTTTTATGGCTTTCTCTGGGAAAGTTTCCTCCTCTACAATCAGGAGCGTTCCCTCCCTCCACCGCGATTCTCTTTCTTATATTTCCATCTGTATCAGTTTTGCTACACATCTGAGAACAATCGACTGCAGCCAATTAACTTCAACCATTTTTCCTATTCCGCTGAGGGATAATTGGAGCAAAGTGGGGGGCAAGAGGTTTGCCTGGATGATATGAGATAAGACTACTGCAACTGGCTGTCCTCTCCGTCCTCAAATTGCCCGCCAGTGGTAGAGAGAGAGCCCTAATGCATATGAACCAAAGTTTTAGGAACCTTTTTTTTTTTACTAGTTTAGTATTTTCCCCAGAGCTTGCAACAACAAAAACAACCATTTATATTCAGATGAATTATTATACTGAATTCACCAGCAAGTAGCTGTACTGTGTTACCACTGGTGGAAGGAGGATTCTGATCCTTTAGGAAAAGGGCCTGAAAAACTTTGGACTGATGGGACCTGACACGAACACACAGTTTTCTGGAATAGTGTTGGTTATTTTATGTTTTTAGAGGGTGGAGCTCTGTTGGGGAAAGTGGAGGAAAAGGACTGTTCATGCATCATTTAAGATTAAGCAACATTTGAATTAAAAGCTGATGAAAGCTGTGCTGTTTGGTGGTGTTGTTGGATCTCTGTTTAAACAGGTGAGTGCTTTTTTTTTAAGACTTAAAGCCTCAAATTATAAATAAGGATCTTGCCAAATGCCAAAACATTTACTTTGTCTATTTAGTCATGAATGTTTCTTGTTACTTAAACTTAATAGTTGTGATTTGACACTTTTTAGGGGCTTTATCCTTTTGAGTAGCTTAACTACTCTGTAACAACACTGTTACAAGTAAAAGTCCTGCACTGAAAATACTGTAAAGCAAAGGATTCCTGAAATGCAACCAAGGATTAATGTATCAGAAGTAAGAAATACTCAAGACAGAAAAAATGGCCCATGTGTGCATCAGATTTTACAAGTTGATATTATGGTTTGTAAAGTACATTTGTTAAAAAATAAAGTACAAAGTTTAATGCTTACATTTAAAATGTAGTGGGGTGGGGGTGTACAGTATTAAAGGCATAAAAGAACTTAATAGTCTACTCACATAAAGTACAAATAACGGCAAAGTAACTCTGCTGTTTGAATCAATATGCTTGATATACATGGGTACTTTCTACCATTGGGTGATTCACATTAAAAACGGCATTTCGACTTTAAATAGTGCAGGATGACGATGGAAAAAGCATTTTGTGTCTTAATCTGCAGTGATTGTAACTGTTTAAATCATCAGATAAAGTAATTCATTCATCACATTTTGTCATATCAGATTCAAAAGAAAAGCGCATTGGCGCATGCAACATTATTATTATTAAAGGGCAAATTAAGTAGTGGGGATCAACACAAAGAAAGCTTTTAAACCTGAAATCAACAAATCACTAAACTATAAAAGGTTGTCTGCGTCCTTGTTTGCGTTGGATCGATGCATGTTTGCCATGTGAGCCAGTTTGGCACCGTGCTGCAGTGCGACAAGTAGGATGCGAGTCGCCTGGAGGTGGGAGCGCTTGGCTCGGTTCGGTTACTATAAGGAGGGGACACCTCCCAGCTGATCCCTTTAATTTGCCTCACTGCCACTCCTCCCCACCCTCCTCCTCCTCCTCCAGTGCCCGGTGTGTTGCCCTCTCTCGGTAGGTTTGTCTTCTGCCGCGCTCCTCTGCAGACGAGCTGATGTCCGGACACTTGCTGCGCTTCTCTTAATGATCAGGAGGAACCGACGGAGCAGAAGAAGTAAGGAGAAGGAGAATCACTGAGGCACATGGTGAGCGCTTGTGATTTCTTTTATCCTCGTTCAAAATGTTCATTGGCTATGTGATACTTTAAGTTTTACCTCTGTTGAAGTCCCGCATAAAGAGAAGCAGCAAATGCACGAAGAGCTTGACCCCGCATTGTTTTGTCACCGCCAAAGCAAAAGTACGGCGCAAATTTTACCTTAAAAAATTATTTAAGGAGTATTTATGACTACGTTGCATTTTCTCCTCTAAATCATCTATTATTTTACCAGACGGAGTAATTATCCAGACGTGGTTGCTCCTCAACAAAAAATTAAGCCGACTGGCATTTCAATTTTTTTTATTTATTATAGCAAATTTTTATATTAAAAAATTTCTGGTTATAGAGACTTGGGATATTAATGTCTTCACGGGCTAAATGGGCAAGTTTGTTGTAAGTTTAATTACGGAATTAGATGGGTTTTTGTCTATTTTCCCCTACAACTCGCATGAACCCAAAGCTGACATTTCCAAAGTAAAAACCTGGACCGAATTTCCCTGTAGTTCGTTAACCTTAATCACCTTCTTCACCGATAGTTACTGCACGTTGTCCACCACAATCCCACTTTTATTCTCATATAGATTTTAAAACACGTGTGTTAGATTTTTTTGCCATTGTGTTCTACTGTTGCAAATAAAAAATATAAAC